TTACAAAAACTGTTGTAAGGTAAATAGAGCATTTATGCAATAGCCATACCAAAATAAATGGAAAACAAAGCAAAGAAAATACCATACCAGCAATAGGCATGTCTTGACAGAGAAAAAAAAAATTCACATGTTGAAAACACCAAGCACCGTCGACCCACCATTCTTCACAGCCACAATATACTTAACATCGAAGGAATAGAGATGCAAGACCACTAATTTTAAAAGATTTTGAAGAAAAAATTTACTACAGAGATATAAAACCAAATATATTAATGGAGTTACTGGAGAGATATAGGTCTATCGTCCTATATCTACCTATATATATTTCTAATAAAGTTGTTCAAAATATTTTGGAAGTCTAATAGGTATGAAAAAAAGAAACATATATGGGTTTAGCTCTTTACTCTTCTAATATTTTATTATATAATAATGAGTAATGAATTTTTGATGGTTGTGTTTATCAATTAAAAAATAGCAATTTTTTTTCACATCATATTAGAATTCTAGTTGAATTTGTAGAATTGAATGGAAAAGAAGAATGTACTGACAAGTCATAGTGATAAAGTTTATTTAGTAAAAATTTTGGAAGTCATACAGATAAATTTTATCTAACTAAAATATAGTCATAAAATTTATCTAGCAAAAATTTTGGAATATCAGTGATAAAGTTTATTCAGCAAAAAATTTGGAAGTCACAGAGATAAAGTTTATCTAGCTAATATTTTGTGGGCATAATTGTCTTTAGTGTAATAATCAGAGGTGAAATAGAAAATCAAAAATTTTTCACAGATCCTGATATTTATAAGTAGTATAGATTATAGAATTATTATTTTTTATTTTGTTAAATAGATTGATTAGATTGCCAATAATATTATTATATTATTACATACCAAAAAATAAAATATAACATATATTTGACCGTAAAATTTAATCTGGTAACTACAACTGTATAATAATATTTAATATATTAGGATTTTACTTCTTCATATAGATATAAAAAATTGTATATAATTATTCTACTAATAAATTAGTTCAAAATAATTTATAAGTTCTTATAAAAAAGCACAAAATAAGTTGAAAGTCAAATGTGAGTAAAAAATAAAAGTTAGACAAAAGTATAAATATGAGTAAGGATAAAATGGAAAATTAAAAGTTTTTCATAAATTCTGACATTTATAATTAGTATAGATATAAACACACTCTCCAAAAAAAATAGTAACGTGGAAAATAAGATAGTAACATGGTAAAAAAGTAATAACATATTAAAGGATAAAAATAGTAATATGGAAAAAATTGTACCAACCATCGTGATTAGTAATATCCTCCTTCTCCACCGTGAACAGTGGTAGCCACCTCTCTCCTTCACTATGAGTGTGTGTGTGTGTATGTGTGTCTCTCTCTATATATATACGCACCTACTCAAATGTAGAGAGCTAGTGAACCGGGAATGTTGAAGAAAAGAATATATGGATCAAAAGAGAAATAGAAAGAAGGAGAAGGAAAAGAAAAGAAAAGGGTACGGGTGCTGCCATAGATGAGAAATTTACTTAACGTTAGTTTTGCAAAGAAAGCCTCTTAATCTTCTTTTTTTGGCTAACAATCCGTCTAGGGAGAGAGAGAGTTGTAACACCCCTAAAACCGGGGTTCTTTTTACACCGTTGACCACCCGTCAACCTGCAGAATTGCCCATGATTTGCTATACAACCCGACATCACGTTAATAATATCCCCTTTACCCGGGATTATAACTCACACGTGTAACCCGTGTTCCTTTAATCATTTAATCCAACCGAGGTTTAATATACCTCAATCTATATCATTTAATGTCCATTTGTATCATTGGAACCAAGGAAACCAAAGTCCAATTGCATAGCAAAGCAATTTTAAAATTTCTGATTTTTGGAAAGTATATCGGTACGGTTTGCCTACTGGACCCCACCGTACCGGCACGCGTACCAATATGCTTTTCCAGTTCTTCCATGTTTCACCTGTTTTCGATTTTCAATCATTTCCAATCCATCTCATTTTCACCCAAAATACATATAATAGAGTTTTTGACATAAAACCTAATTTGTACAAGTTCATTACATTTAATTTACATATATTTACATGCCAAAACGTAGTTTAAACAAGAGTTTACAAAACAGTCAAGGTTAAAGGCCACATGTCGGCCCCTCTTCACTCTTGAGGCCCCGAATGAGAGCCGTCCACTTGCGTGTATCCCGCACGTGAAATGTTTTCCCATATAGGGTGAACCAACGTCCAGTAGAATATTTCTTATAGAGGTTACTCCATCCCTAGATGCATATGTAATGTTTATGTACAACACTTAACTATCCTTTTTCATTCCAAGCAAGAATATGCATTTCAATGATGGAATTTTACTATGTCATGCCATGAAATGAGGTGAGACTCACTCATGCACCACAACCCGAGTCATACCCGACTCCTCAACACAATGCAATGTCAAAATGTATTAAATCGTCATTTATGTTCACATCAAATGACATTCACAATTCCAGGGTCTTTCTTGGGGTGGGTATTCATGGACTTACACCAATGGCACCCAGTCGACACAGAATTCAAGGATTTCAACCTATACCGACACACTTTATGAACTCTTATACCAACGGAGTGCGAATTCAATCACCGGGCCTCTCACCCAATGGATATTCTAGTCCTTTTTGCTAACCCCGACCCAATTTGTTATACAACTGTGTGACTTAGTCAGATCATCGATCCAACTTTTTTCAAGTCCACCTGTCATCCACCAATGGGGTGACGACGTCAACCATGCACATACACCCACATGATGCGAGGTCTCCGTGCAAATACAATGTAATGAACCATTGCATAATAATGTCATGTCGCATACATAATGAATTTCATATAGACAACCGAAACCACATATTTCAACATATGTCATGACAATTTATATCCTAAGCATATAATTACCAAAATCCATCATAATTCATAAGCATGTTACCACAATATCCATATCAATAACACACTTAAATCACAAGATATAATATAAACACATGGCATGCCCACATAAACCCAATTTTCAAGAGTTTACATAAATACTTTCACATATCAAAGTCATGCTAGAAATTGGTCTATGCCATTTCTATATCCATTTCCTTATTTTCATGACTATAGGCAAGTCATATATTCTTCTATACCTCTAACCATTTCATACGGACACCTAGGTTAGAAATCAACCAAAGTAGGAGGGAACCCTACATCTTGAAGCGTAAAAGAACATGTTGGGAAGCTCTATGACTCCAACTCGAGCTCTAATCCAATCCCTTCCAAAAACTTGTTTTTCAACCTTCGGTGAAAATCCTCGTTTTTGGTACATAGGCGTAGCCCTCGACGAGGAGATCAACTTTTGGTCTTGGCCCGAGTGGATTCGATCACTCAATCTTTGTAGATCATAAAAAGAATGTGAGAATTTTTCTCTTTTCCCTCTCTTCTCTTCTCATGGTGAACCAGCTGAAGAAATGGGGAATAAATCAAATTTTTCCCCTTTTTATATCCTCCATTTACTTGGCTCACATTGTGTCACACAACTCTTTTTTTTTCGGGTCCGTTTTCGCCCCGAAACGATTAAATTTCGTCTTAATTTAAGTTCAAAATAATTTTATTTTTATTTGCCTTAAATTATTTTTCAACTTCCAAACTTTTATTAAAAATTCCATTTTTGGGTCACCCGAGACTTGATTGCCTCGTAAAATGCAACAAATCCGACTATCTCAGAATTCGATGAAATTTGACGTGGTAACTAGATTTTGCGAGACGAATCCAACGGTAAAGTTCGTTTCGTCATCCGAGATCTAAAATTTTTTTGGTTTTTAATACGTATAGTTGTGACAAATTACTGTTTTGTCCTTTTTCAGAAAAAGTTTAAATTTACCCGGATTTTACATTAGCCTAACTGGGTTCTTTGAATTTGATTTTCAAATTCATGATGAAAAATTTATTAACATATCGCCATGGACATTGAAATAAGGGGTAACGATTTTCAAGATAGAAAATTAATTTAATGTTACTTTCAAGGAAAAATATTTTTGAGTTATTAAAAAATTATGGACTTAACAACTTATTAGTCAAATTATAATAGGGGTTATCCTTAAATAAGTTTGACTAACAGGATAAATTCATTAAAGGTCCTCTAAATAGAACTCATCCCCAATTTCCACTAATTTTGTTCTGTCAGTTTTCTTATGTAATAAATAGGTGATTCACGGAAAAAAAAAATAGTTGATTCATGAGGTCAAACACCAAAACGAAAGTCCTAGTTGATAATTATTTTATTTATTCTTTTTTCTATTTTTGGTGCATTCAGTCATTGATTTTGATATAGATTTGGACATATAGATATATGGGTAAATGCATTTTTTGAGAAAAAAAATTTTAGGGCGTGTTTGGTTGGTGTTTCAAAAAACAGTATCTGAAAACAGTTTTCGAAGATAGATTTTCGAAAATTGTTTTTAGTGTTTTTCATGTCGCAGAACTTTTTTGGTAATATAATTCTAAAAACTGTTTTGTAGAACAAAAAACAAAAAACATGTTTGGAGAGTAAAACAAAAAATAATGAAAACAAAGATGATGTTTGGATTGAATGTTTCACTGGTAGAACATTATATTATAAATTATAACATAACACATACCATTATTTGTACATACAATCTCTACATTATATTACAATGAAAGAGCTAATCACTTCTCCACTATACTGATCACAATTAAAAAAATCGTTTCATCCATGTGCTATGTAATTAATTAAAAAAAAATTCAAATACCATTTACATGTATTCCAACCAACAAATTACATAAATGAAACACAACTCATATAATTTATGTCATCACACATAAATATGATATCCAACATAATACAAATAATATTACATAGCATCCATGTACTAGTAAAAACACTTAATATTTTTAATATTACCTAATGGTAGTGTACTAGTAATAAAACTTAAACAACATAAAAGTTCAACCACCATGAGAAACAGCAGCCCACATACTCGCAGCCATTGTATCCCTCAAGTGCGACATAGCATTGAGTTGTGATGATGACATGTCTAATTCAGTCAATCGATGATGGTTGGAACTTTGTTCATTATCTAAAAGGACGTCTTTATTTAGAAACCGCTGAAAGTAAATGTCACCTGCTAAATGCATACGAACAAAATTATGATCTGCACAACATGTTGTTACAATGGTTGGTTGGCGTGCAAGTTTGTATTTTGGCATTATATTTAAAAGAGAAAATCTCGATTTCAACACACCAAAACATCTCTTAATAACATTTCTCAAGGAAGAATGTCGATAGTTAAATAGCTCTCTGGGTCTATGTGGTGCACGTCTATTACCACTACCATATCGTCCATTTCATCATCTAAACTGCTTGATGAGCTTAGTGAGTCATCACTTGATTGGGTAGCTGTATTTTCCATTGTACCTACAAACATAATACAAACTCACGACTACAATGTATAAATACGACAACAATACAACTACACATTTTCAACACCATACCACTTGAATAATAGACATTTTCGAACGTCACATATTGAAAACACAAAAAATTAAGCATGCAACCCATGCACCACATCATACGACAATATTAATAATATTGTTCCATAATAATTGTCTAACAGTTAGATGCCCAAATTGTCTCGGTAGAAACACACAAAAAGTTAAGTCAACTTTGGACATCTATGCCCAAATAGTTTCATACATACCTAAGCAAATGTCATTAAACTTAATCTAGTGTGTCAAGCCACTCCTTCTTACGCAATGCAGACATCTTCATAAACATTTGACACCACTCAGGGTCCTTGAACTTTGCACAAGCACGAAAATGTTGTTGACATCCAACACCCTCCCTACCCTCTAACACATCCATGCAAGTTTCTATGTTATAAGCATCATTCACAGTGTTCACTTGACAAGTACGCTTGTATTTCTCCATCCTAGCAAGTTTCTATGTTGTAAGCATCATTCACAGCTTGGCTTGTTCCTAGTTTTTGTGTTTCAAATTTCATTTTTTTCAAAAAATTTAAGAACAAAAATACTAAGCAAATAGGTTTTGAATTTTTTTAAAATTTTGAAAACAAAAAATAATTTTTTGATCACAAATCAAACACGCCCTTAGTTTTTATGTTTTCATGTTGATCCAAATCTATAGTATGCAACGTGTTTGATAGTTTGATTGGGGCCCTTAAAGTGTCTCTTTAACTGTACATACCAATAAAATTTGGATTGTTATTTTTGAGTGGAGGTTCAACGTTTTTTGATGGATATAAATTATGGAGAAAAAAATGATCTATTGTGTGGGGATTCTATTATTTTTTTATTTGATAAAAATACAATTATGATAGTAAATTCTTTTTTTTTTTCCGATAATATTTTTTGATATTTGGAGTGTGGGTTGCACGCGATATAGCGGTGCTGTTAATACGGTTGATCTCGTGTTGTAGGCATTTAATTCTTTTTTTATTGGGTCAAAAACGCAGGATTCCAACTCTTGACTTGATTATCGCTTGTTTATATTCGGCTAAGTGAGCAAAATCGGCTTACCAACCATTCGCGCTGGACTGGCTAGTGGAAGCTGCCAATAGTCTCTCTCTCCATTGGGCAGTTGGGATTAATGTACCTTTTTTTATTTGGTAAACAATAAGCTATGTTAGACTTATGGGTGTACCCGAGTGGTAAATAGACTCTCTCTATGTAGGCATGGACGGCGGATCAAGAAAAAAAAAATGGGTATTTCTTCAAATTTATTCGGTTCGAATAAAANGACTTATGGGTGTACCCGAGTGGTAAATAGACTCTCTCTATGTAGGCATGGACGGCGGATCAAGAAAAAAAAAAAAGGGTATTTCTTCAAATTTATTCGGTTGGAATAAAAGATGTATTAAATGTATTGAACGATAGACGTATACGAAAATACCCATATAAACATGTACAGGAATGGAGACAGCGTCTGGAAATGGGCTGAAATTCATCTCTATCCCGCCCCCACCTTCACCTCTGTCCCGCTAAATTCGTTATATATATATATATATATATTCACAACGATATAAACCTCACTCACCTTTCCATCCACTTGTTAATAAATATATATCACAAGCTCCACCCACCCACACACACACACACACTCAATCAGCAACACTGCCACACCCATGTGTCGCCTCTCTTTCTCAACCCACCACCAACTCAGATCTGAGATATTTTTCTTTCTCACGCATTCATCTGCAATTCACACACCGACGCACAACACAAATTTGTTATATAAATTATTTTTATGAGTTTTTATGTTTGATCTATTTGTTATATAATGAGTTTCATCCTTCTTGCAAATTCATTTGTGAGCTTTATGGTTTTTTTTTTTTCAATTTTTTTTTAAAATCATAGAAATTAATTGTTACGGGTGGGGATGGTGACGGGAATGAAGACAAAGATGGAGATCAAAATTTACCAGCAGATGTGGATGAAGATTAAAATTCTTTCCGCTAACGGGGGTAAACGAATATTTTTGAAGCAGGTACAGGGGTAAAGACTACTACCCCTCCTCCGCCTTTGACCCCACCCTAGTCCACTGCCATCCCTATGTCTAGGTACCAGAGGGGTGCCAATTCGAATCTTCCTCTCCTTTGTAATAGTTGAACCAAAAAAAAAATTATAAGCTATATTGTAACAAATTATTCGATACTGTTTGATTTTTTTATTTAAAATATTTTTTTAAACAACAATTACTTTCATCTTTTCATTTATAAGTGTTTTTAAAAAAGCATTTATCTTGTATACTTAATTTTTCTCCTCTAAATTTACTCTCTTCCTTCATATTTGCTTGCATGTAAAGTTAGATGCATATGCACATATAAGTGCAATATATGTAGATTCGTATAAAGTACACTTATGCAATAATAATAAAAAGCATTATTATTTTCTTGATGAAATTACTTTTTTCTTGAATAAAAATACTTCAAAAAGTTACCAAAGGGTACACAAGCTTTTATCATTTATGTTTTTTCCTATTGCTTTGGGTTCATCTTTTTTCCATTTTAATTGAAAACTAGACGGTCCACAATTTCAAATGCATTCCTAACTATTTTTTTCGCATCTCGATCTCAGAACGCCTATGTAACAGAATGACAAGTGTTTCATTTGAAATGATTTGTGATTTTTATGTATGGAGAAAAACTATTGAGACTTTGTTTAGTCAATTTGTACATAAAATTGACGTTCTTTTGAAAGTTGTTACTATCATACAAAAACTTTTTTTTCCAAGAGTTGTGACATTGAAATAAAGACACTACTTGACAAGTTGTGGCCATTTAGTCAAAGGCATTTTGGGCTATGACTAGTGTGAAAAGCTGTTATTTGAAAAGGAGAAGAGGGGGGGGGGGGGGGGGGNTATTTGACAGTCTATGACGATTGGGACCAAGCACCAAAAAGACCCTTGTTACTTCAACCACAAACACTTACAATACTTCTCACCAACTCATTTTCGTCTAAAAATAAAGAGCAATGCTACATGACCTAATATGAGAATTTAATTGAATATAATCATTACATTAGTTGTGAGTTCTAAAGTTAAATAAGTCCACTTTCAATCCAATAATTAACTTGAATTAGATTTCCAGATTAAGTCTTCAAATTAATTTTAAATAACGTTTTCCAAATTAAAAACTTTTAAAAGGAAGATTTCTTTGGAAGTTTTTTTTTTAATATTTTTTGTTGTTGTTCTTCACCCAATAAACTTTGTTGTGTTTTATTGACGACATTAATTGTAACCCGTAAACAAACTTTTATGATTGAGCCCGACAAATAACGTTCTCAAGGTAAATATTTATGAATACGCCTCAAAGTCTTTCTCTTTTGTAATTTTTTTGTCTATTGTATTAACAAAGTTACTTGTCTTTGATCGAACNTAATGATTTAATTTATCAAAGCGTGAGATTTATATTTGAGTTAAACTCAGTGAATTGGGAGATAATATTATTTGTATGATGCAAATTAATTATTAAAGGAAATCATGTGCTGATGTTTATAGGAGTTGATGATGTCCTCTTGAGGAATCTTATAAGTTTTGTCCATGACAAATAAGTTGAGCGGTAAGATCTCAAAGATAAAAAAAAGTTAATTAAATATAATTATCAGTAATTTAATTAATTACCGAACATCTGAAATCTTAAACATGGAGAGATTATTAAGCATATAATAACAAGAAACTCAAAATATAATTTTGAGATAAGGTCCTGAAAATTAATAATAAATTTTTGGTGGACTAACTTATTATTATTGGACCATAGGATGTTTATTCTGGATTGGACATAAAATTCCTAAGTCCATTAGAAGCGAGACAGAGAGAGAAAACATGGCGAGAATTCAAAAGATTGTAGCCCACATTGCATTTGGATTTTTGGCGTAGAAGGAAATATGGTAGAAGATCATGAGGTTCGTCGAATCGTTGTTCAATCTGCATCGTTCTTGTTTGTATTGTTCTGCTTGTCAAAGGTAAACCCTAATTTCACTTTGTAGGATTAATAGACGAGTAAAATTTTTGTAATCAATTATATGGGCCGTCAACGGATCTTGAGATTGTCGTTCCAACATTTTTAACAATAAATTTCTCAATCACTCCGCCTCTTTTCCACTTGCGACTAATGCCACAAATTTATAAAGCCATAGTAGATTTCGTTATATATGCATGTTTCTTCGAACCCCAAGAAAAGGCACACCCACCAAGACTGAATACCCATCCACTCATTGATGTATAATCTTTACAATCAATTATCTAACTGAGATTCGAATATCTCTCTAGAACAGTATGATATCTATTATAGTATATACCATAATCCATAGTTTCTTTTAAATATTTCAAAATTCTATTTACAACATGCCAATGCAAATGATTAGGATCATTAGTATGTCTACTAAGTTTTCTAATAGAAAATGCAATATCAGGTCTAGTGCATGTCATGGTATACATTAAACTACCAATATAAAATATTATAATTGTGATACTGCTCTATCATTATTTTGAAAAACCCTTTTTTTATGATTCAAAAGGTGTGATTAAAGTTGTGAAGTGAAAATAACATGAAATGTTACTAATTTAAAGTTAGTGANCGATGGGTCACCAAGTACCCTAGGAACTTGCTCTAGCAAATGCCTAACAAACTCTTGGATGCATTCAACTTCAGCCTATAGTTCTAGAGTATTTAGAAAGTCTCCTTTAGATCCCTCAAGTGGTCCCCTCATAACTGAATTTTCACAAGCATGTTATCAATGTAAATCTCCCTGGTGACCCAAATTTGTGTCTTGAACATCTTGTTCATCAGACACTGATAAGTAGCCCATGCATTCTTCGAATCGAAAGACATTGCTTTATAGCAGTAACCCTCCCAAGGGTTCGAAAGAAGGTCTTCTCCTGGTCAAGGGCATATAAGGGAATAAAATGATAGCCTTAGTCAATCATCCATGACATTTATCAATTCCTACTCTATGGTCGCATCTACTACTTGATCAACTATGGGTAGGCGATAATCATCTTTCCAAAAGTCGATCCACCTCCTCATTGACCATCTAAGCGTGATGAGGCACTAACCTTCAAGGCTTCTGCTTGATAAGTTTTAAGGTCTGATCCACATGGAGTTGATGAAAAATGAACTTGAGATCTCTCCTCTGCATCACGTACCATACAAACACACCCATATTAGTTTGAAGGAAGTCAAACATTTCCTCTTGCTCGAACATCATGAATCTTTATTTATGATCCAAATGGATGTAAACAATGGTTATCTCGTCCATTGATTGGTCGATTGGTCTTACCCGGGGTTAATTAATGTCCAGCCGACCGAGCTTTGATTTCTATTTTTTCAAGATGGTCTCTAGGTCCTACTCCTTAGATTTAGTGGCGACCCTAATCTTGAAAGCGACGTAGAAGCAACTCTTGGAGCACTA